AACTATCGAAATAAGAATAAAATGTAGTATATATCTTTAAATAATAATACATTTATAATAATACACTTGCAAGGTGTTTCTTTAATAAAGTTTTTCAATCATAGTTGTTACATTGAAAATAATACAGGACGTCAAGTGAATTCTTTATTTCTTATGAAAATGACCACAAAAATTCCAAGTGACTAGATTATATCCCTACATTCAAATGGAGTAGCTAACAAAAGCAAAAATGAGACATTATATGATATTCTGCAACAAAAAATTGTTTAGGGCAAGCTGTTTAACTTTCCTGTTTTTTCAGTGTGAAACGTTGTGGTGGCGAATTAAATAATTTGTGTTTTCAATTTCTAATCTGTCATTTTGAACATAGGCATTTACCATAGATGCATTGGCATTGATGTATTAATATATTTGAAAAATCATTTTCGCTCGTGTCTCCTGGTTTTCGTTCCCTATATCTGCCATGAAAAACTAAACTTTCATTGGAGTTCTCTAAATATACTTATAGCAATATTTTCTATACATTTACATTTATCGACAAATATTTCGGTTAATTAATTAATGAATCTGCGTATACTTGGTTAAAAATGTCTCATAACTTAATTTTCTGAAACTTCCTTTCATCTATGAGTTTCTATATTCAAATTATTATTGCATGTGCTGAAGGTTTGTAAATGCATTAAACGTGGAAAATAGTTCTTTATCGACTTTGTATTCCGAATAAATTTCGAATATATTATTCAATAATATTTTAAAAACAAAGCTTTAACCAACAAAAGATGATTTAAAAATTAATTTAATTTACTTACGATGCAATAATTTCGATAGAATGTAGGGATAATATATCATTCTCAATATTTGTATGCTAATTTTAGTTCAGTTAAAAGGCTTACTATATTTGCTCTTTTCTTTATTTTCAGATAGTAACGGAATATGCAAGAATTACAACTCTCCTACTACTCTTCTGTACATCTATCAAATCTAGTCATTCACAGAGAGCTTACGATAAGGGCGACTGGATTCCACTCATTTCTTCTTGTCCGACATGCCAATCAAAAGAATTAACAGAAAGTCGCAAAATAGTGAAAAAAGAAGCCACTGGACGAGTTCTAAACATAGGGCAAGATGGCCACCCAAATCACCTTGTTAATAACGATAAATTCGTACCATTTAGCGGAGATCAAAACTTTCGATTAGAAGAAGCTGATTCATACGAAGATTTTCGTAATTACTATAATTTCAACACACCAGGCCAGAGGCATCAAGAAAGTTTGCAAAATACTGATAGTTATGTACAAGAAACAAGTAAACGTCAGCATTTGCTGGCGCAAAAAGTGTTGGAACCATTATTTTTAAACCAAGAGTTACAGCCTCCAAAGTCTACTTCTGTGGATAGTCAAGAGCAGAGAAACAACCTGCACACATCAAATTCTAAAGAACAAAGTTATCATAATTCACCACGATTTATTCAATATTCAAATAATCAGTTGCAATCATCAAATGCAGGCGACAACATTCCTCCTGTTAGATTTAATTTACTTCAGTCAAATATCCAATCTACACAGCATTCTTCAGAAACCCCTAAATTAGAAAATATTCCAAAATTTTCGGGAGGAATTGACAATGACGACATTAAAAGTAATGATAATCAGCGTGATCAATATTCATCTGAGCGCCACAATTATAGTAGCCCTCCATTCACAAATTCGCCTACTTTTTCAGAAGCGAGTGCCTTGGTCGATAAAAAAATCGATGGAAATAGATCTCCGGGGACTTTCCAGTTTAACCCCCAATCTCCATTAAATGAAAATACGGAATTAAGTAATATCCCCAATCCATTATCTTCATTAGCTAAAGTATCCGATATTCGGCCACAGGGAGAGAGCGTTGCATTTCAATTACAAAATAGATTTTCAGAAAGTCCTGGTATTCCTTTATTAAAGTCGTTTTCGAACTCAGATGTGAATCCTAATTTTTCGCCTCCACAAATACGAAACATGATACAGGACGTCAATGCTGGGTTACAACCTGAACTCCCCCAAGTTGATAAGGCAACACCATCACTATATCAGCAAGAAATAACAGCTAGAATACACACAAGCAAAGGTAATGCACCTGTTGAGATAACAACCCCCATAAGTCAGCCTAATAGGGAAAGCGTGGAATTACTTTACGTTCCAGTTCAATACTTAAACAAGCATCAAGAACAGCCAAAACACTTTTCTACTTCTGAATATAAACCACGTTCATCATTTCCACAAAATCGACAATCAGGCATTTTAAACGAACCAAATAATCATTTTCAAAAAACTTCAGCAGAGCCATTTAAACAGGCCCAACAAATGGAAGGAATTGAAAATGATTTTGCTAGTCAAGCATTAGGAGCGCTTAAACTTCAACAACAGCTTCATTCTGGAGAAATACCAATTACATCCCCACCTGTTAACAACCTCATTTCTTCGACTACGAAATCAGTGAAAAAGAAGAAATCACACCAACCTCCTTTAGCAGTTTACATGGAAAATGATGGAAATGTTAAAGTAACTGACGTTTTGAACTTGCTAAAAAGTTCGAGAACTATTACAGTACAGGATACAGTTGGCCCAGACACGCCCCCAGTTTTTGTAGGGCCATATGACTTAGATACTCCAGAGGGGTATGCAAAATTTGACCTACCGTATTTATCATCCCTTGATGCTAATCAAATTGAAACTAAAGCAGATGAGTTTCCATTCTTTGTTGCTCCAATCAATTATAGGGCACCCGAAGGTTATTCAAAGATTCCACTTCCATCTCCACATGTTGGAAGCATTGTTCTCTCTGAAAAGAAGAAAGGCACCTCTTCAAAAGCATCGCAAAATGCGTTCGCAGGTGTTCCTAGTAGAGATGTATTGGAACATAAACAACATTACAGAGATACTCTAGACCAGCCTAACTATCAATCTAAGTTATTACCATCAAGTATAGAAACGCCATTATCAATAAGACAGACTACGGATCATAATGACTATAATCAGCTTAATAATCATTTCTTACACCCGAACCAACGCATCCCTAGTCCGCAATCAAAATTTGAAGAGGAATACAATAGAATTAATAACATTTACAGAACTACGCCTAAACCTGAGATAAGTCAATTTGTTATTACAACTTCTACCTCATCTCCTCCTAGAGAGCAACAGCAATACGTTTTCAACCCACAGACTGGGTTTATAGAGCAAATTCCACAAACTCAATCATTTACAGATCAGCAGCGTCCAGTGCAGGGGAATAATTTTTTGGCAGGATCAAGGGGTGAATTGGTACATTCATTTCCATCCAGAGAAAATCCTCCAATGGGGGATATACCTGAACACAGACAAGCTTCCACTAAATCTCAAGAAAATATTCCCTCTAGATCTCGACTATCGGAAACCCCAAAATATAATGTAGAAATTTCAACAACGTCAAGACCATTAAGAGGAAGGTTTCGTGAAACTAACGATCAAACTTCTACAAAACCAACTAGAGGTAGGGGTTCTTCTCATTATTCATCTTCATCTTATGATCAAGGAGACAAACACGATTTAGAAAGGCCGAAAACGGTCCATAGAAATAGAGGAAATAGTGCAGGCAGAAATGGAGCTTCAACTGCTAAAATCAAAGAAGAGCCAAACCAACAATGGCAGAAGCATATTGAAGAATCAAGTCGATCTACTCCAACTATCCTTGGTTCAAGATCAACACCGGCTAGTGGTTCAATGTACAACGACGGAGGTCAAACTCATACAAATAACTTAAGTTCTTCGGATAAAACTTCATCAAACACCTATAATTCTGTGAATATCCCACAAGTTCCATATTATGATGAAATAAGTGATATTCAACCATTTAATCAACAAGTGCCTACTTCTCTGTCATTAAAAGAGAGAGAAGAAGCTAAAAAACAGAGAACTCAGTCTGTTAGTAGTCTTGAACAAAATTTAGGAATTCCAATAACATCCAATGGCGCATCAGGAATTCTTTCCCAGAGTACAGCCGATGACAGTTATAGTGATCCTTTACTAAAAAGTACGGAAGAGCCAGTATTTGAATTTACAACGAGATCACAACCAGCTAGAAGTAGACCATCAACGTTTGAAAGTTATGAACTAGATAGTACACATAGTGACGAATCCAGAGATTTTGATGACTTCTTTTTAACTTCTTCCGAACATGAAGAGGAACCGAAGAATTTTAGACTTCCGTCCCAAATACACTCTGTTAATCCTGCGCTCCCAGGGCTTATTAATAACTTACAAGACCAATCAATTCGATCTATTCTCAATCCAGCGCTGATTGTACCGACAACACAACAATCTATTGACGAAATAACTTCCTCTCAGCGATTAAAATTGCCGCATACTGAAACCACCATTAATAATCAAAATTCATTCGCAAAGCCTCCACTAAGTTATCAGAATCCTCAAACTCCTCGCGTAACAGAAAATTATGAAATTAATGCACAACAACAAAAACATACAGCTATAATTGATACCAGGAGAAATCCTATTCAATTAGAATCCCTTAAACCGGAAATCGACCGACCTTCAGCACTACCTACTAATGAACAACAAAACTTTAATAGTCTGCAACCAAGTGAGAGTTTTTCAATGGCTCCACAAAGTTTGTCTTCGCCAACTTTGCAATCTATAGATTCATCAACTCACTTGCCAACGATCGAAACAACTACCCTTGCAAAACGAGGAAGAGGCAGATTCCGTTCAAGAGGTCCGTCGGTATCTACAACAACAACTGCACCTATAAGAAGAAATTTACACAGAACTCGAAGGCCGTTAAAAGTTGAATCAAGAAGTGAGAATTTAGATCATCATCAAACTGCTAGTTCTACTTACTCACCTGTAAAATTACTTGATCGCGCACCTAATAATGCCAGACATCACACAATTAATAATTTCGGTGGACTCGGTCAAAACCATAAACCCCAAGAGAAATCCGAATATTATCAGAAAGTTCATGTAATTCCAGAATACGAACTTATGCCAAACAGCTCTTCAAATCACTTAGAACGCCAAGGAGCACGTATTAATAATTTTTATAAACAACCTACACTAAAAGAATATGTTTCTGGTACTACAATCTCTGCACCTAATAGTTTTATGTCATCCAACGGAGCAATGTCAACATTGCCTCTGTACCAGGAAAACTTCAAAGCTGATTTACCTCTAAATCAACCTATTATGTTTAATAGAGATTTGCTAATACAGGACATGTCGCACCTAACTGCGCCCTCTGCAAATGCAGCTGAAGAGACACAGAGTCACTCGTCCAATGTGCAATTCGTCCATCCTGATGATTACAGTAATGGCACCCTTATTAACTTCATTCCAAGGAGTAATTCACAGGATTATGAAAAGTCCGAAGGCGATCACATAAAAGCTGAAAAAGTTAACCTAGAAAATAATTCTCAGTATTTAAATTACAATACGGCTCCTTCAGCAGAAGCGGCGATATCGGAAACTACTGAAGCGACCACGGGACGAAATCCTGAACGAGGAAGAGTTCGTGGAAGAGCAGGTACTAAACACGTGTTATCTACAGTACCCATAACCGAACGTTCTAAAGCTACGACATTAGAAAAACCGAAGGAAGAAAATGAAGAATTTTATGGATTCTTCAGATCTCCAAATTTCAAGCCAGTTACATCTCCACCAACAACTTCTACAAGTCACGCGAATACATTGTCTATAACAGGAGGTGATTTTACAGGCATACCACAATCACATTTCGATAGTTCTCAAGGTAGAGACAACAGTGACTCATACTCTTCTACTCCACAAAGTTCAGAGACTGTTAGACCCAGATATTCGTCTGTCATAAGAAACCCGACCGGTCCTAATAAGGAATTGGAGAGCGCAGTTACAACCAAACAACCTGAATCAACACAAAGATCCCGGAAACGTGGTAGAACAAGAAAACCGTATGTTAATGCGTCAAGTAACACAAGGATAAATCAACAAACCGAAACCACTTACACTAGAAGATATACTACAACAGAACGACCGACAATCCGAACTACACAAAGATTGAGGACAAGAGGGCGTGCTCACTTTCAATCACCACAATCATTGAAAGGAAAGAGAGAAGACGACTTAGAAACAGCTAATTATCCTGCATCATTTTTAGCATCTCAAGGTATAGGTATGAAACAGTCTGCATCCGAATCAATTGCCCAAACTGAAAACCCAAATTTCCGAATAACAGTTGAATCTGGATTTGATGCAGACGGAGATCTTGCCGAGTATGATCAACTTACGAATCCATCATACATAAGTGCTAGTATAGTAATGCCCGATGGAAGTAAACATCTAATAAATCAGATAGATAATGAAGGCTTGAAAAAAAAGTCGATGGGACTACTAGACAATTTTTCAACTACAATCGAGCCTCGTGTTGTTGACCGTACTGATGAAAAAATTCAAAATAATGCAGATTCTACCAACAGTAATGAATCGAATGAAGGATCGGTTGGTATGAAAAAACGCGGATTTTGGAAATTGGTGAAACAAAAGTCTTCTTCTGATCCTCTTGAGGCGGCAGAATCTCAACATGTGGGCTCATTTTCTGCAAACAGCTTCAACGTAGCGGAAGGGAAACCCCCCAAAAAAGATCAAGGAATGGGTACTGATATTGAGAATATTCCGCAGTTAACAAAAGAAGTTGAAAAAGTTGTAGATTTATTATATCAAAACGTTAACGATTCTCTGCATGACGTATCTCAAGTAACAAATGAACATAACTTAAATGCGAATTCTGACATTGTTCCTGAATTTGATAATACTGTTCCAGAAAATTCTAAAGTAACTTTAAGAACATTGACAACCACAGAAGGTGAAAGCCAAAATTATGGAAAAAGTAGAATTATCGATAACGCTAGTATAGAAAAAAAATATGAACCAAGTACTGAAATCCCACCAAGGACAACAAATTCCTTTGAAAAGTCAATGAGGACACTTCAATCCACTGAAATTTCCCATGAAACGGAGATATGCTACAGAGGAAAGTGTATCAGGACTTCAAACCCAACTTTGTGATTTAATTAAGAATTGGAATATTTGCAGTGATCAGTAATCTAGATGTTAGGTTAAACTTAACATATTGTGCAGCGGTAACTATTATGTATCATTATACTTTGCACTTTTTTGTACATAATGTAATTTATTGTGATGAAAATAAATTTTTTTTTATCTATAAGTACCTTCAATGAAGTGAAGCAATAATTGTAAAATATACTCAATGCGCAATAATAATAATTTCTGATAATAATTAACATTCTAAATTTATTGTTAAATGAAACAGCACATTTCTAGTTGTAACAGTTTTATATGCACATATCTGAGAATATTATATTTTGTTTCCAATTGTGTCCTCTTATCACTTGTCTATTCTGTCACCATAGCTAAAACAAGATAAAATTCCAATCACTGAACAAGGTAGACAAATTTCGAGAAATTAATGGTGGCTTCTCTACCTCTATTTTTGAAAAAAATTTATTGGTGTTTTTAAAACATTTTTTGTTTTCCATTATAAAGCACTATTGAAAATTTCGAGTTTGGACTACATGTCCATATCTTGGCTGTTTTCGTAATTAAATGCTAACCCATCGAATGCAACACCATATTTTATATATATTTGAAGAGATGAACAAATTATCTTTTTAACTAACGCATAGTCAACTATGATATATTTAAAATAGTACAAGTTTATTTCGTAACTCGAAAGGGAATTATTCTTTTTTAAATCTTCCGAATCCAGTGTGTTCTATGCAAAAAAGTGCATGAACAACGTAAAAAATTTTTTTTCTAATATTATCGACATTTAGTCAAAACTCGAAAATTTCAAGTCTGGTTTATAACTAGAAAACAAAGAACAATAGCGAGTTTTTAAAAATACCAATAAATTTGTCTCAAAAAAAGAGGTAAGGAAAGCTCCATTACACCCTGTATACATGGAGTGCTAATACCTATCTTATAGCATTGTAGTACAAGTTCAGAGGAAAATCGGATATTTATTATAAATATTTAACTTAAAATATCATTTTAATCGAAAGTAACTCCTTTATTAAATCTCAATAACATCCTAATTTCCTCTTTCAATACCAATAAATTAATTATTTTTTTATTTTAAGTTAAACGCTTAAATTTCGTACAGTAATAATAATAATACTTTTTGGAAGAAAACACGCCACTTTCGCCGACCGAGATTTTAAATAGTTACCTATCAAACAATAGTGCAGTAAGGGTTGCAATAGATACTCCATTTATACAGAAAATGACGTTTATAATTATTAATATTTATACCACATGTTCCTAGTGTCATTTGGAACATAAAATATAATAACACTTCTGACTTTTGAAACAGAAAAAGTATTAAAGAATTACAATACATTGACGCCGGCTTGACGATTTACAAATAGTTGTAGTGCAGATGATGAGTATCTAATAAAAATAAAACTAATACCTAACATACAAAAATTCAGGGTCAGTAGGCCGCAATCACTTGTCCGTTCTCCGTTTGGTGTTAGTAATAAGATGGCTCAGTTAATCTTTAGTAGAGGAGAGTTAAGGTGTTATGGATGTTTTATTAAAAGTGACGAAGTTGTTATAAAAATACGTGCCGAAATTACAGAATTTACATTGAAATTATTCACTTATAAACTGTTTGACGAAATTGAATTTAAAATTAATAAATGTCGTATTCTTCTACATTAACCAATGCGTACGCTATTATTACTTTTTTTACTATTACCAATCCAAATGTAATATATATAATAATATATAATTTGGTCATTTCTGTCGTCATTGCCATTAATGTCTTTATTTATTCCACTTTTGCTTATATATATGTATATAAATATGGAAAAAGAACAAGAATAAATGAAGCAAGAAAACAGAAATAAAGAACGTACAAGATGGAATAAACATGAAAATAAAAGCATAGAGAAATAATATTAGAGATGAAATGTAAAAGAAGTTAGCAGGAAGAAGGAAGGTAGAAGAAAGGAAAATCAGTATGACAAAGAACATAGAAGGAAGGGAAATCAATATAGAAAAAAAGACAGAAGAAAGTCCAGATCGAAAAAAAGACAGAATAAATGAGAGAACAAGTGAGAGAAGAAATTGAAAAGAAAACACTACTCACCACTGCAAGGCCTGGCGATTGCTGTGCAAAACTAACAAAAATTAAACTACCAACTTTTGATTAGAAAATGTCGTGGCCTGTTTACCTTAAGCAGTTTCCAGCAGCGGCAGATGTAAACGAATGGATTGATTCCGAAAAAACAACAGAACTAATAATTTCTTTCCGAGGAGGGACGCAATTTTAGTAAACATTCATCTACTCTCCTATGTCATGCTTCTGAAGACCAGATAGCCATAGATAGTCTTTTTTAATTTAAGTACTTGACCTAGTTTTCTCTTTCCGGAAAACCTTCTGGTATCTGCATATAAATAGTTTTTTAAAAGCACCATTCAAGAAGACAGTTGTTGCATCTAGATGCATTGCATATAAGTTTAGTTGTGCTGACAAAAGCAACCTTAAAGTTGATGCCTCACTAAAGGAGAAAAAGCTTCTTTAAAGTCCACACCTTCAACTAGTGAAGAACCCTTCGCTACTAAACGCGCACGAAAACGAACTTTATTTACACTGTCATACTTACCTACCATCCTAAACTTTTTTCTTTTCCAGATCATTTAAAGCGTCATGTAGAGACAAACTAGCTACATCATCATACGTTTCACTGCCAACACAGATTTGAGAACACATATCATTCCATAATCTTCCTTGTACGTTGAGATCGCGGGCTATTTTTCTCTTTGTCTTTCAGTGTGCTATTTGTATCTTAATAGGCACTAGGAACATATGTCTCATCATTATCTTGAAAATTGTCCGTAAAACTTTCAGTCATCTTTATTAGACACTGTTTCAACTTCTCGTTGTTTGTATCACCAGGCTTATTATTCCCCACTGAATCAACACTCTGACATTCCACTTCAATAAGATGTTCAGATTTTGATTCTATCTCAGTGATAATCACATCTTTACTAGTTGTTACATTCCTTGTTTGTGTGTTGTAGACCGTATACCCTATTATATTATCTGGGTATCCTATGAGAATACATTTGGTTGACTTCTTGCACCACTTTTTTCGTTTTTCTTTAGCCACATGGAGCATTACTGTGCTATCGAAAATTCTAAAATGACTAATTTCCGACTTGGAACCAATCCGCAACTGATACGGAGTTTTATTATTCAATGAAGCTGCCACGATATGATTCTGCAGATATACTGCTGTATTGGTGACCTCACCCCAGAACTCTTTCCCTAAATTTGCATCGAAGATTAAACACTTAGCCTTCTCAACAATTGTACGATTGAATCTTTCGCACAACCCATTCTGTTGTGGGGTGTATGGCTTACTCTTCTGATGAATCACGCCACCACTATTCAGGAAATCTCCAAATTCTTTATGTGTGTGCGTGTGTGTATGTGTGTGTTTGTGTGTTTATGTGTTTGTGTGTCTGCGTGTATGTGTGTTCGTTCTTCTTCTTTCTTCTCTTTTCTATGTGTCAATATCGTGCTCTTCGTTTTATTCTTGCATGAGCTCCTGGGCCCATGACCTGGTGTATCCAACATTCTTGCTCTTTTCCCGTGTGCTCACATTGTTTTAGGACATGTAGTGTTTCCTTCTCTTTCTTACATATTTTGCATAATCTTTCCTTTTCTGATAGCCAATACTTATTAGCTTTCGTTTCTGATCCTAACCTGAATCTTGTTGTCTCTTTCAAATATTCCGGTTTATCGGTTTTGGTGTATTTTTTTGTATTCCTTTGTGTATTTAGATGCATTTAGTTTTCCCTCTAGTTTTTACCTCTTTTGTTCTTTTTCAATTTTCTCTTCTTCTGTCCATATGCCGCTGTTATTCTCCATAAGTTGATTATAGTAATCAGGTGTCCATTTCTTCTCTAGAAAGTAATTCTTCCACTTTTCTGCTATTAGTTCTTTTCCATTTTCACTTTTTATTTTTCCTGTGTTTAATTGTATCTTCTCTTTTACTTTAAAGCATCCTTTAAGTAGATTGCTTCCCTCTTTTCTAATTTTTTCCTCATATTTTATTGCCCTTTTTCAAGTCTTATTTGCCATCTTTTCTTTGCCTGTTTCTAATTTTAGTAGGTAGCTTTGTGTTGTTTGATTAAGCCTGAGAGTTCTTTTGTTCTGTACTCCTTCAATTACTTTGTGCTCTCACCATCCCCATATTTCCGCTCCATACATCAGTAAACTTTCTACCAGTACTTCAAAGAAATACATTTTTTTCCCAACTTTCCTTGAAATTCCTTTGTTATACTCCATACTTTCTCTAAGACTGCAGTTGCTTTTTTTTAAGTTTTCGTTTTTGCTCTTCGTTTCCGTTGTTCTTCTGTATGAAGTAGCCTAGGTAGTTACATGTTTACTTCTTCAATTTCTTTTCCTTCCCATGTAAATATTATCTTTTTCGTTCTTCCACCACCGTTTCTACCTCTCATTATATTCGATTTATCCGTGTTCATCTCTAGGCCTCTTTCTGCGATGTACCTTCCCATTTTTCTAATAATTTCCGTCATCTTCTCTTCATTGTTCGCCATAAATACTATATCATCCGCGTAAGCTACTGTCCATACTTTCTTCTTTCTAATGACTACTCCCATTTGAATTTTTCTCATCTATTTTCAAGATCCGCAAAAGCAAGCTTGAAAAGAGCTGTACTTAAGGGACATCCTTGTCTCACGCCGTTAATCGTGCTAATTTTTTCAGAAATTTCTTCATTGATTCTTATTTTAAATGATGTTGCTTAATATATTTCTTCTATTCCTTTCCTTAACTTCATATTTATTCCATTTTCTTCCATTATACTGCATATTTTCTTTCTGTTTATCCTGTCAAAGGCTGGCTTCATATCAGCAAAGAATAGAAACATTTCTCCTTTTTCTTTATTTCTTCTTCAACCTATTTGTGTATCATCCATAAGATTTTTCTCTTCCTTTTCTGTCTCCAGCCGATTTTTTTGTATCTCCGCGTATATTTAAATTCAGTGTCCGTAAGTGTAATTCCTTAATAATTTTTTACCTCTTTTACATATTGGTGTCACAATGCCCGTCCTCCATTCTTCTGGTAATTTTGCTTTTCCTTTCTATATGTCATTTACTATCCCATGTAGATCCTCTATAACCTCATCTTCTTCGTAAATCCATGCTTCATTTGGCATTTTATCTTCTCCTGCTGCTTTCTTTCTTCTTCTTCCTCTTGTTTTTTCTTTTTCAGTTTTCATATTTCCAATGCATGATTCTTCTACGTTTGTTCCGTTAATTTGAATCTTAAAGTGCTCTACCCATTCCGACATTTTTATTTTTTCACTTATTTCCT